ATTCAGAGTTGGTACTTAAACCACTCTCCTGATCAATGCAAATCACTACATTCAATCGTTCACATGGTATCAGAGCTACCGCTATGTTCAATCGTTCACAAATACATTTTGTATCTACAGTGTTCAACAAAATATATTTTAGAGCTAATATCAATGGGGAACCCGGACTATTAAGAAAGTGTCACTTGTGTCCTAAACTATTCAATATGACATTTATGAGAGTTGTAACTCGCAATAAAAACAAAAACATTTTTTCGTACACCCACCCATTAATCTGATGCAATTCTACAGGAAAGCAGACAAGTATATTGACAAAGCCACAAAGGTGTTTGGGCGAAAATCCAATTAAAGGACGATAGAAGGGCATGTTGGTTTAGAAACTACAAGGGTGTATTTGTACGATAGACCGAAATTGGGTGACTAGAATAAGATAGAGTCATGAACTGCATTTACTTTCCGTAAAGAATATCTCCACCTTTTTGCGAAGCCTTAGATTACAAAAAATTTCTTCGTAAGATAAAATTATCATCACTTTAGATTCTAGACTTAAGAACAGTAAAGTACACCGAGAAATATTTTATGAAAGAAGAAGAATAAATGTTTTCTTGTGTTGTCTCCTTTGCCATCAACTGAGCCTCTGATTTCATAATGCATGAATGACAACTTTGAAAGATCACAAACTTTGGTTAGTTAAAGTAGTATCCATAACTTCCATTAGTCTTTAATTGTTACATTAGTTTAACTGCATTAAGTAATGCAATTGGAGTTGGAAAGGATGTGTTTTTTACATTTTGAAACTTACTTCCACTCCAAAATCCAAACGTTCCAATTAAACCAATGCATCAAGTGGATAGATTAATGGAATTGAACATTGGTTATTCCAAAGTAAAGGAACAATAATTCCTTATTAACTTATGCTCTTTTAATTTAACCAATTTGGGTCTACCTCATTTCCAACAGGGCAAATGCCAATTACACGACATTGAATCATTGTTTTGCTAAGATTTTCACTGCATTAGTTTTTACAAAAAAATCAAGAAGCCCCTAAAAAAATGCTCTAATAAGACCAAGAACTATACAATACCAAAATAAGACCAAGAACTATCTACTTAAATACATAAATCGTATGCATGTAAATGACTTGTCATGATGAGAGGAACCAAATGATAACAACATTAAGAGAAAAGGCTTCATCCTTTCAACTTTGCCATCATACATGGATGGATTTTCAACTTACTATTTGTTCAAAGGGATGAATAAACAACCAACTATATCCACAAAAAGGTTAGCAATCAGTCAACATTGTTAAGCAAGTAAGAAACAAAAGAGGGAGGAGAAATACTATTCAATCATTACTATTTATACGACCAACCCTTTACTTTGGCAACAAGCAACCCATCATTTGCAGAAACTCAAATCCTAAATGTGTGTTGGCAGGATAGGATGTCCATGATCTTCTCAACTGGGAAACTATGACAGCCAAAGAGCTCTTGAAGCTTCATGTCACATACTATCACTCCGGGATTAACGGGGTCCTAAAAAGAAAAAAGTATGATCACTTGTTTTAACCAAAAAAGCAAACTCGAATCATATTTAATAACGACAAAATAAATTTTTATTACCTTTAGATTGTTGGAATTGATGTATTCTAACACGCGATTCAAAACTTTGGATTGGGGCATCTCCCTCACCTCAACACCAAAGAAGTTGGCCAACTCTTCTGATATCCCGACAAAATGAGGAGTTGGACCTTGAGCTGGAGAAGCAGCTAGCGATGGAGCTGGAGAGGGAGAAGACAATTGAGCTGCAGACACAGTGATTTGTGTCACACAAGAAGACTTTTTCTCTTCGCTGGCCACCTTCTGTTTCTTAGAACTGGGCTCCTCTGAGAAAAAATCCCACTCCAAAACAGTCAGCACTAAATATAAGGAAGTAGTTAAGATTCATGCATGGAACTCTCATAACAAGTCGAGTTATTGAGACAAATAGTTATGACATGTTATCAAAGTTGATTTATTCTTGAGGTCACATATTCAAGTCCTCACGAGTCACAACCCTCAATGTTAATTGTTATCTTAAAGCCATGGTATGGAGGGCACTGGTGGAGCTAGGTTGAAGTTAGGAGGTGCTATAGCCCTCCTCAATTTTGAAATATAGGTAAAATTACATATAAATTTTGCACAAATTTAGGAATAAGAATAGTCGGTAGGCCTTTAACACCCACCCCACATTTACGAAAATTCAAGTTACCCCCTCATCAGTCGAATTTCTGGTTCCGTCACTGATAACAGGCTTATGCAAACATCAAGTTCATAAGTTGGTTTTCGTCCGAGGGATCGTATGAAGAAGCGACTAAGATCTATACATGTACATCTTCCAACAACTCAAGTTATTGCCACTAGTTGGTTTTCACACTAAATAAAGCATCCAAGGGGGAAAATGAAAGAAGCCACAAGAGAGCAGACTTACTATTAGGGTCGAGATGTGTGATGTGCTTAGACAACAACTTGTTCATCTTGAACATGTCAGTACAGTCCGTCTCAAACACCACACGCAGAGCGTCGTCGCAAATTATTTTCCTCTTATTGCTCGGATCCTGGAGGTTGTTCTTCCTGATGTATGCCCACAACTGCTTCACAATCTACAAAAATGTCATTTCCATGGATGGAATTTGTTATTTACATAATGCTTCTTACAAAAAGTCCAAAAACTTAGGGTTACAGGAGGAAGGCGATAACCTCTGTTCTCGGAAGAGCTGGGTGGCCAACAACAGCCTCAAGCTCCGGTGAAACGCCACAGAGCTTGTTCAGACCTCCGGCCCCGCCTCTCCTTTTTGCTTTACTCGACCCACTAATAGTAAGAACGGAAAAAAAGAATGAGATCACTAGCCCACCATAAAAAATCAATAGGTCGTTCGACTTCCACACGGGAATGGCAAAATAACACATCATCATCGCGAATATCCAATCAAATTTGAATTGATATATCGAGAAATTTTTTATCATATCATCTTTGGATGGATTTTCCCATAACCCGACAAGGTAAGTAATGAATTTGGTGCGATTTTTATATTTTAAGTATTATTACCAAACCTAGCAGAATATGTGTTAATCGTATATTCTACACAATTTTTTATAATCTTTTCTCAGTTTTACAAACAATGAGACAAAGAAACTTCAATTAATATTGACATTCTAAGAAAAAAAATTAGATGAAATCAGAACTTCATATATGATTGTTCATTGATGGTGCAAGTGAGTTTTTCTCGAAAGACATACGAGTTGGTTTTGGAATATGCCATATTTCATTCCCGCATAGTTCTAGTTATTTGAATGGTTACGATTTTAAAAGTGTGGTTGAGAGATGGTATGTGAGAAAACGATCCCATCCAAAATCGTAGCCATCCTACATCCATGGATAAAGTAATCAGAGAAGGCTAACCAACCTCGCCTTGGAAGGGTCGATGGTGGTGGTGGTGTTATCGGGCTTGACCGAATGAGCAGGGATGGAGTGGAAGGACAAGCCTCCAGGAAAAGAAGAGGAGAACAGATTTGGGGAAGCAATATCCGAATGAAAATGGGGAGTTTGCTGGAAGGCATAATGTTCTTTAGGCTGAATCAACGATAATGGTTGGTGTGTATGTATCTGCGGGTGTTGGTGTTGAAATGGTTGGTGCTGTTGATGAAGGTGGTACTGATATGAATGAGGCTGGTTCTGGTGTTGGAGGTAGAGCGGTGGTTGATATTGTTGCGATTGAAGATGAGGCGGTGGAGGTGGAGGTGGAGGTTGGAAAAGAAGATATTGTTGGATTTGAGCGCGAATGAAGTCTGTTTTGTGGGCTAGACCGATACCAAGCTTGAGCTCGAGGTCGCCGACTATGGAGGAGAGGGAGGTAAATGGAGGTGACGGGGAATCAAGGCGAGATGATTGAGATGAGGAAGAGTGGAGGAGAGAGTGCAAGGCTTGAGATATCTCATGATCCGTCATTTCCTCTTCTCCTCTGTTTTTCCTTTCTCTTAAAAAAAAACTAGCAAACAAACAACATCATCACGGTGTTTCCTTCCCTAGTCTGGCCATGTCAATCCTCGATCTCTCCTTTCCTTCTCTCTCTCTCTTCTTTTGTGTTTAGAAATTTGGTTGCCATTTCTTTCTCTTTTCGCTCCGTCTTTGCCTCCCCTCTTCTCATTTCCTCTTATTTTTGTCTCTCTTGGTCGATTCTCTCTCCCCTTCTTCTGAGGATAAGTATTTGCGCCTCTCTCTCTCTCTCTCTAGAAGTGGGTGACTTTTCTTGGCATAGTTAGTAAATATTTCGTTTAATATGTGTATATATAGACACACATATTTTATGGGTTTAAATTTTTAATTTTTGTGTTATTTTCAAAACGTTTATTTTTCCCCGTCCATTTTATGATACATGTACTAAACACGTATTAAACCCTTATAATATTAATATTTATAAACTAATTGCTAGTTCGAATATGATTTATTTACTTCTAAAATAATTCTTTTCATGTCCTTTATGACTATTAACGTACTATAAACGTAACATTAGTTAAGAGATAAAATTAAATACTCGTATATATTTATATGCAACTTAATCGAATCGTATTTTACTAACTATTTTTGTTGGTGCACTGTGGTGAGATAAGTACTCGTATATATTTTATATGCAACTTAATCGAATCATATTTTACTAACTATTTTGTTGGTGCGCTGTGGCGAGATAAACATATTTAGTAGGGATAATTGTACACTAGTTTGGTTAAGCAATTGTTCTTAGTTCTTTGTTAGTTTTTGGGGATTCCACTTCTATCTATACTATATATAAAGCAGATTCATGGGTTGAATTTTCTCCCTTTCAAATTTCGAGCAACCAGAGTGAAAGTATGAAAGGTATTTGTTGGTGCACTGTGATGAGATAAGTACTCGTATATATTTTATATTCAACTTAATCGAATCATATTTTACTAACTATTTTGTTGGTGCGCTGTGGCGAGATAAACATATTTAGTAGGGATAATTGTACACTAGTTTGGTTAAGCAATGGTTCTTAGTTCTTTGTTAGTTTTTAGGGATTCCACTTCTATCTATACTATATATAAAGCATATTCATGGGTTGAATTTTCTCCCTTTCAAATTTCGAGCAACCAGAGTGAAAGTATGAAGGGTATTTTGTCTTCGCAATTAGTTATTTGTTTCGTATAAAAATATATCGGCACCAAGATTTGAACCATGGTATCTTTAAAGAGAGATAAGAAACATAACCAATTACACTAAACAAATACATTGTATACTTTTTATTACAAAACACACGAAGTTAAAATCTAAAAAACGGATGACTTTTGTATAATGATAAGCTAGCTCACTAAGTCTCCTGTAAGTATTTTATGGTGTTTGATACTTCAATTTTCATATTTGATTGTTTTAATTCTAGACTATCCTCCAATCTTAAAATAATGAAGGAGATTCATGAGTTAAATTTTCTCAATTTCAAATATCCAACAACCAGAGTGATTTTTGGAAGGAAAAAATGTCATTTACCACACTTTGATTGGAATACTTTGTTTAAACATTTATGTTGGGCTTTAAATTTGTCGCATGGATTTTAGTGTTTCCGCTAGGCTTTAAATTCGTTGGGTTATATTTTAGTTTCTAATTTATTTTTTCTTTATTGTAATGTTGCTAGAGGGACGCAAACTCTCTCAACCTCTAAACCTGGATAAGAGAAAACAAAGAAGCGGAAATCCGCATCCATAACTCCGCCACCAACTAGGTCGTTCTTAGGACCTCTCCATGGAGGTTTTGACACCTTTCATGCCAGACAAAGCTAATCAAGGAGCACCATAGAGGTCCAATAAGTCTCCCCAGAGCCGTGTTTCGCTTTGCAACCACACCTGCATATGAGAGTCGGAGATCCCAAGAGCTGCTACTGAAAAATTGCCAACTCTGCTAACAATACTCCTTCAGAAACAACATTCGAAAAACAAATGATCTCATGTCTCACTATTGGCATGGCATAAAATGCATCTAACTTCATTTAATTTACCCCACCGCATCAACTTTACCTTGGTTACTATCGCATCCATGGCCACAATCCATGCTATGATACTCCAACGTGACACATAGAATTTACTCTAGAGAAGAGCAGACCAGTGTTGTTTGCTCTTCACAGGACGTATCGTGTCCTAGACTGCACTCACTGAGTAGTTGTGCATCAATTTCCCATTCCAAAAGCCTTCATCACCATGCTTCCTCATAAATGACTACACAGTTGGCTAAAGCTTCATAATGCGTCTCCACGCCCGATCTTCTCTATTTTCACCTGTCAAACAACAAAAAGATGGTGTGTTTCCATAAATCCAATTATCAAACCAAGCTACACATGAATGAAAAAGTAAGTTATCATTATTCTAATAAAATTCCCAATCTTGAAGATTCCAATATAATTTTCGCTTCCATAATATATATGGTACTAATCGTTGGTTATAATTTACTTCAGCCTAATTCTGGCCTTTAGATTAATCTAACGGTTTAATAATGATTTGGATTACGATACAAAATCCAGACATAAAAAACTCTACAAAATCCCAACCATAGAACCATTTATCGAACGAACATGTATTTTTAACAACATTAGAGTTATTTTTAACAATTATGATATCAGTTTTAACTATACAATTTAGTACCTATTCCATATTGTGTGATGTTAACAATTATCATAATCAACAAAATGTTCATTTATAAAATAATTTGTTAATGATACCAAGAACATCAATAATATGAACAAACAACATTAATAGACAACTGTGATATTGGATCATACTGTTAACAATGAAATGATGTATTGTTAATAGTATACAAATTGAAACGTTGCCAACATAAGCAAAACCGTTAACCATATATATCTCATATGAACAGGAAGCAGCCAATGAACGAACCGTCACTGAAGCAATTAACACTAAAGTCTGAATATCAACAGTTAATAAATGAACCTTCCAAACTTTGACATCGACCGCAGCGGAAGAATTAGATGGCAGACATATACGAAGCAACGACGACGGTTATCGATTCTATTCCTCGTGATTAATGATATAAGCTTCGTCTAATGCAAATCCATCATGTCTGAAAAATGGTATATGAAGAAAGTGGAAATAGGGTAACCAAAAATTCATTTTGGAAAGAAGCGAATGTGTCGAACGACATAGAGAAAATAGAAAGGTATAAAATGAGAAGTTCCGACACAGTTTGAATGTGGTAGAGAAAGAGTGTGAGATTGAAGTTTCACATTTTTATTTTTTAAATACTTATTAAACTAATTATTAATTTAGAATATCGACATTTATCTTTTATGTATTTTTCTTATTGATTAATCAAATGATTCCTATTAAGTTAAGAAACATCTTTATGTGGATGTGGATAAGGGTTAACTCATCGCGATGACACACAGACTATTAATTAATGGTTTTTTGTTTCATGTAGCAGACCTTCAAATTGATAGGTTATATATATTTTTTTTTGTCTATTTCTCTTGCTTTTGCCTATTTAATTGACTCGGAAACACAATACTTTTTTCATGTACATCTCTTATTGGATTTCTTGATATTGAATTTCTCACAATGAACCTCTTTTTGATAATGTCTTTGACTCTCATCTTCAAGCTCGCTCATCTCCCCCCAAGTGTTTAAGATTATAGAAGGTGGTATTATCTCCTTTTATATCTAATTGTCTTTCCCTATATTTCTTTTGGGAGCATAATTAAAAGACTTTTGTTTCACATCTGAATATGCTATGGATTTTAGAGAGAATAAGATGCAACATTAAGGCACAGAGTTAGTTTTATATTTGGTTTTCAAAGTGAGCTCCCATGTATTGAGCATTTGAGATCAATTTGCTCTTCATTGCCCACTGTTTTGTCTACCTCTACTTTCACATTAAAATATTAATACCGAAGTTACCAACGAGGCATCTAAAGGCTCAACTTTTAAGTATAACTTCCGCAGTGCACAAAATACTCATTTGATTTTTCTTTTATGCATCGAGCTCTTGACTTATGTTAAGAATGCTCACTCGGAATCTTGGCACTATGTCATTTTCTGGTTTCTCTAATAGCTTCTACAACGACACTCTCATGCATGGATGCGAAATGATCACAAATTCTATAGCATATTAGTTTGTGCAAAATAAGTAAGGTTAATGTTGTATCGAGGGTGATTTTCACGTCATCGTGGTACATCTTCAACATGCTACTTCATATTGTTGATCAATCTCTAATATGCCATGTATATTCTTTCACATGATATAATTTCATATCTATAACGTACCGTAATGAATAAAGATGGTAACTATTGGGGAAAAATATTAGATTAAACTACATGAATTGACAATCATTTTCTTTTATGATTAAGATTGATTGTGTGTGTAATGTAAGAAAACTCTCATGCTGTCCTACATGAAATACAAAACAAATAGACTCCATTTACTTCTAAATATCGCTATTAGTTTTTATATTTGTTATTCATTTCTATATTTTTTTTATACTACACTAAAAAGTTACATATTATAAATGACAACAACACATCAAAATATATAATAACCAAACTCTCCCGGCCAAGGGCCGGGCCCAGTGCTAATATGCTTGAAAGATAAGAGAGATTCAAGATCTTTATCCTACCAACATTGACAGATTTGTTTTCCTTTTTCACTGTTCATGTTGGGTATATTAAAAAAAAGTAATTGAATGCTCGTTTTCTTATATTATGCTCAAATAGATATAAACACACTTCAAGATTCCTAGTCTCTTAGTTCGCGCTTTTGAGGTGGTAAAATCTAATCATATTTAAATTTTATCTATATATTCAATAATTTTGTTGTAATTAAATAATTCAAAAAATTATTTGGTTAGTATATCTGCATAAACTTTATATAGCAAAATCAAAATTTTCAAGTATCACATTTTATTAAACTATTATATAATAAATAACTTGCTTCACACCACCTTTATGTAATGCAAATTGATGAGGTGTGAATATTGTAGCTAATAGTAAAGTAATTAAGTTATGGAAAGTATCAAAATTGACT